GGAAGTCGGAAGTCCGAATGTTGCGCTGGTGGACCCTGGCGGTCGATAGGTGGAGGTGGAGGTGGAAAGCCGGATGCTGTAAGTCTGGAATCGGAATGTCGCGCTGGTGAACGCTGGAGGTCGATAGGTGGAGGTGGATGTGGGAAGTCTGATGTTGGAGGCTGGAGGTCGGAGTGAAGAGCTGAAGGACGTTTGAGGTCGATAGGTGGAAGTGGTTGGGGGAAGTCGGATGCTGGAGGTTGGAGGTCGGAATGCTCTTGAATGATGGGTGGAGATGGAAGTGGAAAGTCGGGTGCCGCAGGCTGGGGGTCAATATGCTGAGCAAGCGGAGGCTGGAAGTCGGTACGCTCGAGCGCGCAATGTCCACCCTCAAATGCTGTTCTGGAAAACGTGGTCGTCACGATACTGTCGGAAGCGGTCGCTTTGCCCGAACCCAATGCGTCACCTGTAGAGAAAACGAATGGAGAGAAGGTTGTTCCATAGGTGGCCTCTCCACACGACCATCTTCACCACGGTTGCAATCGAAGGCGTTGCTTAGCTGAACGAGTAGAGAACAATAACTTGAAAATGCGAATGCCGTCGGAGACGGTGTAGTCCCAATTCTAATAAGGCAAGGTGGTGAGAGCCGGACAAGTGGATGTACGAGGGTATTTTTGCTCGAGGTCGTAATACCACCAATCAGGTTGTCGGCGTCATTGTCTGTGGCATGGCCGTTGTCAGTATTCACGCACTGAGTGTGTACGCGTAAGCTCTGAAACTGTTGAACAGTCCCACTGAAGGCGTCAGTAGATCCCAATTCGGTTTGTAGCTGTTCGGCTCCAGCATTGGTTGTTGTTACATGTGCGCCCAAACTCGTATCCAGTGCCCGCCGTATGTCCTACTTACAATTTCCTTTGGATGCGCCTTTTGGCGTGCCCTTGGTCCCGAGGCGGGACCGATGGATGATGGTATCGCATGTCTCAGTTAAGGCGATCAGCTTCTCCTGCTTCCGTAGTTCTTCCCAGTTCCGCCAAGTTTCCTCCCACTCGCGGTGTAGAGCGCCATCGCGTATATGAACAGTAAGTGCAAACTGACCGCCTACGTGGACCTGATGCGGAGCGCAGTCGTCAACTTTGATGGTGCACTCGTTGCCAATGTCCTTTCTTAGTATATATATATATATATGTATATACGTGACACCAAGAGCAAAATTTCGAGCTGCTCGTTCGGCCGCTTCCCGATCCTGAGATGCCCCAACTGTGCTGGTACCTCATTGTATGTGTTTGCTGCGCAGTAGTGCTACGGCGGTGTCCCGCTCCAATATATCACCCAATTCCACACATAGAATATTGCGGACATTTCCTGTGGCGTACATGTTCTTAAGAATGGGGCCGTTCATGTTGGCGAGCTGCTCCCGGACGAACTCAGTCGCGGCTGATTCAGACTCGAAGTTTTCTAGGTTGCCGATGACCGCTGTGACGGAACGCTTGCCATTATAATGGTGCTCGTCTACTGCCTTCTGAGAGTAGCCCGACCGCGGTGTATTGCCCCCAATGTTCTGGAATTCTTGCCTGATCTTGTCGATAGTTTATTGCATGTTGTTTTCGAAGTTTGTCATTCTGATCGGCATGTCTTCCATGTCGTTGGATACCGTAGTTGCGAAAGTGTGGAACTTGCCCTTCATATCATCAAGCTGTATCTTCAGCAGTCCAATGTCCTCTTCAAGATCATTGTGTGAAACGCCGTGTTTCTTGATAGCCGCGATGTCTTGTTGGATTGGGCGTAGGGGGCGTGCAATCGAAGCTCCAATCGCATCCAATGTAAGCAGTTCCCCTCCTGATCCAGATGCGCCGCTCCTCAGGAAGGGGTTCGGAGGGGGTTGTTGAAATTGGCCTGGAGCTGCTGGTTCAGTAGCTGAGAGACCTTCATGAAGAGCTCCTGTAGCAAGTCCTGCTGCGTCGTCCAGCCCGTCCAACTCGTGCAGCGGGCTGCGGAGCCTCTGTTGTTTTGCCTCTGGCCGCGTTGGAGTGCTGAGCTGACGACGTTCTAACATCCCCGCCCAAAATGGTGGTACGAGAAAGTGGGATATGGTGTGGGAGTGAGTGAGCAGTGAGCGTGAGAGTGGGATTTGGACGTGTCGAGCCACTTGAGCCACTTGAGCCAATGGGCGACGAAAAGAAACGGGTCTTGCGCGAGAGGACGTGGCGACCTTACGCCGCGGCTCACGCGAGACGCCGGCGCGGCACGCCAAATTGGAGACGAGGGCGCTGACGCGCGACCTTACGCGGGCAGCTTGCGCGCCGATGTCGGCGCAGACGACCCCGTTTTTTGGAGTCGCTCATGGGAGTCTCCCATACCATCTTGTCCGCTCTTGCGAATCGACGCTAATCGACGCTACATCGACGCTAAATCGACGCTAATCGACGCAAGCTGACGCTACATCGGCGCTGTCTCATCGACTCCCAGACGCAAATCGGAGCTAGTCGACGCTAAGGGCGGAAATGAGAAGGCACACCAGGCTGCCATGGCTTGCGCCCGAAGACGACTTCCGCCAGACCTCCGCTGGCAGAGCCGCCGCCGTTTGGAGGCCTGGAAGTTGGCACCAACACCAGCACAGGGGGTTGCCTACACATGGGAAAGATGATCCTAGATTTCGGTGTTGGTGGTAATATTTCGGTCACCTTGGAAACCAAAATATTACCACCATCACCGAGATCGGGATCGTCTTCTCTCGGTGGAGGCACACCGCCGATCTTGGCGTTGGAGTCAACCTCTAGGCCTGCGAGCCGTTTCACCTCCGCCCGCCTCCGCCGGCCTCCCGGAAACGGCCCGCGACGAGGGCGAGGTGCGCCGAAGGCCGGGCCCTGCCTGGAGCGGGCCGCCCAGGCACCCGGCCCTCCGGCTCCTTCGGTGCGCGGCACTGTCGGGAAAAAATACACCTGTGGGAAAAAACCACACACTGTGGGAAAAAAACACACACAGACTGTGTGTGTGTTTTTCCCACAGTGTGTGTGTGTGTGTGTGTTTGTCCCACAGTGCGTTTTTTTCCCACAGAACAGACTGTGTGTGTTTTTCCCCACAGTGTGTGTGTGTGTTTCCCAACAAAGTGTGTGTTTTTTCCCCCACCTTGTTTTTTTCCCACAGTGTGTGTTTTTGTGTCCCGATGGCTTCCCCATGGCAAGCTTCTTCGTCCAGGACCCACTCGAGATGGGCCCAGGGGCCCGGGAACGGCCCTCGGAAGGCGAGTTCGAAGCAACAGAAACGCCCGCTGCAGAAATCATGTCGCCGGAGGCCCGGGCGCTTCGAGCCTCCCGGTCGGCCCTCGAGCCCTCCGCGACGACACCGGCGGCGGCGGCGCCAGGGGGGAGCAACACCCCAAGGGGGGCTGAAGTCTCCCTGGAGGGCACGCTAGGTCCTCGAGCAATCGGCCCCCCAGGAACAGTCCAGATCCCAGAGGCCCCCACCAAAAGACCCCAAGCGCCCGAAGACCACCTCGAGCTTCGACCCCTGCGGCCCAGATTCTCGGGAGGCCCACCTCCTCCTCCTCCTCCTCCTCTTCTTCTTCCTCCTCCTCCTCCTCCTCTTCTTCTTCCTCCTCCTCCTCCTCCTCCTCCTCCTCCTCCTCCTCCTCCTCCCTCTCGCTGGCATCCCCCCTTGGTGGGCACCCCCCAGGGGCGCTGCCCGGAGAGAGCGTTTTGGCCCCGCCCCCCCGGGGGCGGCCGCAGGAGCACCCCGGCGGCGCAGCGGTGGCGCAGCGACCAGAAGGCGGCGGCGCAGAGCACGGCCACCGCCAGCGAGAAGGCCGCGCACTCCCAGCGGGAGCCCGCCTTCTCGGGAGGAGGGCGGCCTCCCCCTCCCGCCGCTGCCGATCCTCCTCCTTCTCCTCCCGCTCCTCCTCCTCATATCCTCCTCCTCCTCCTCCTCCTCCTCCTCCTCCTCCTCCTCCTTCCCCATCCTCCTCCGCCTCCTCCTCCGCCTCCTCCTCACCCTCCTCGTCCCGCTCCAGATGCCTGGGCGAGCAACGACATATGTACATGTACGCCCTCCGCGGCCTTGCCTGCACGAACGTCCGCGTGGACACGCACTCCAGGGGAAGCTGACCGCGTGCGTGTGCATGTGTTGCTGGCCTCGTGCCTGATGCCCCTCCGTCCTCCCCCGTGCCGACTCCGCCTCCGCCTGCTGCCGCCCGGCCTCCTGCGCATCTCCTCCTTCTGCTCGCCATCCCTCGGACGCCCCTTCCCCGTGCAGTCCTCCCCCTACAGCTGCAGCTGCGGCTCCTGCTTCTCCTTCTCCTCATGCTGCTACGGCTGCGGCTACTCTGTCTGCTGTTTTCCTGTTTCTATTCCTGCTCCCCGTCCTCATAACCTCCTACTTTTCCTGCTTCCGTGTCCTCGATCATTGTTCCTTGTGTGCGCGTGTGTGACTCATCCTCGTTTGGCCACCAGACGAGCCGATAGGGCGGTCTGGGCATTTCGGATAAGACTTCATCTCCGTGTGCCACCCCGCTGATTGAAAGTTCCAACAAACACCCAGGTGCATGTGTGTGGCTTTCGACATGTGGCTCTCGCCTCGGCCCCACGCGCATTCGTCTGATCATCCTCTGACAGCGGTACTGATGGAAAGGGGTGGCTCTCAGAGTGTGGCTCCCGCCCCAGCGCCGCGCAAGTTCAGCTTAGAAGCTCCCAACATCTTCACGGATGGACAGAGGGTCGCGCTCCAGGTGTAGTGCGGCGCACACTCGCCCTTCAGGGTTCCAGTAGCAGCGTGGATGGAGGAAGAGCGGCTTTCAATGCGTGGTGCTCGCCGTATACTGCCACGCGTACTCGTCCCAAAAACTTCGATCAACCACGCAGGCGGATCTCGCCCACAGTCGCCATGCACGCTCCCAGGAATTACGCGGATGCACGAGGGTTCTTTCAAACATGCGGCACCGCACACACTCGTCGTGCAGGATACCGGCGGCGAAACGGATGGAGGGCAGCTCCTCTCAAACAAGGGGTTCTCCCGCCTCTGCGCTTCCC